AAGAATAAAATGATATAAAATATGAAAAAAAAAGCCTGATATAAAGCAGTCCTCAATAAATGTTAACTTGTATTAACATTTTAGGTTAATTGGTCTTCACCATATGTTATTAATAGAATCACCTGGGGAACTTCTGAAAAAAATACTGATGCCCAGACTCCACCCAAGACATATTTTTAAAAAAAGATTCTGAATGTAGCAGCTCAAGTATTGATATGCTTTGGCCTCTCCAAGTAAGCAGCATCCCCTAGGGTTGGGAATCACTGCATTATATTGTTACCATTGACAACAGAAACTACTCTTTTCATTTTCATCACTTGGGTTAACGTTGCACATATGGGAGAAATCAATAATATTTGTTGAACTGAACTAATATGAGAAGATCCAGAAGGACATCAAATGAAAATATATCCTCAAGGCACCTCCCAAGACCTCGAGATGGTTTTAGATGCCACTATTTCCCAAGGCCACACCTACATACCCAGGAGTGGAAGGTTTACCAGAGTACATTAAGGACATTCAGGGAATAAGGAAGGGAGGAAAAACATTGATCACGTGCAAAGTTTTCCATACCAAAAATTTCATACCAAACCCAGAATTTATACTGATGAAATGCTAACAATTGTAAGCCTAAGTTAAAATCTCATTTGGAGGCCTTCAGCATAGTAAAGACTACTGTCCAGTCTCCAGAACTATTTACTAGTCATTTCCTGATTCTTCCAGCAGGATCGGCTGTATTCCGAACAAGCAAAAGGTACTACACCAGGATGCCGGATGGCTGATAAAGCTAACTAGCTCCACAGAAAAATGCTTAACTATCAAAGATTAAGGAAAGATAAAGGACATGGATTTTAGGAGCTGAAAACAAAATAACCCGGAGTTTTCCCTCAAGAATTTAGAAGCTATTAGGACTATTAAGGGAATCACGGGGGTATTTTTATACTACTTCACAGAGGATAGATGCTGGGAATCATGCAAATTGGAAAGATAAAGGCTCAGATGGCTGAATCAGGAGCTATTATGAGGTCCTCTTCTTTCTTGTGTGTCTGCTTTGCACAGTTTATTGTAACCACAAAAGAGACAGTATTGTGAATCACTGTGTTGTTTCTGAGTGTTCATTCACCTGACTATCCCCAGTTCAATAGAGCTCAGTTTTAGTATTACAGAATTTTGCTATAGATTTACTTGCAATCAATCAAAAAGCGTTTATTAAGTACCTATATACTCGGAGCACTGTACTAGATACTTCAGAGATTGGATTACAGACATGATACAAGCTCTCAAGTGTTTCATAATATCAATAATTCAACCACAAATGGTTCAGCTGACAGCTCAGAGCTTGAACAGACTGTGATAATGCATTTACCACTTTGTGCTTACCTGGCAATTTCTTCGGCTTTATGCTGAAGGGATTCCAGAGTGTCTCAGACCAAGTACCACTTATTATAATCCTGGAGACAGATTTCAGTGGGAACACCAAAGACCATACACTTTGTTTCCCCTCACCTGAAAGCTCTATTAACAGCTGGCCATGGATATGCCAACCGAGTGAGTAAATCAGATGACTATACATGACCTGAATGAAAGATTATGCCTAATAAACTGATGGAGAGCTATCACATTATTGTCTGCAGTGAATAAACATCCAAGCTCTTTCACTCTTAACCCGGGGCCTGTACCACCTCCCTGCCCCCTTGCAAACCTCTTCATTATCTTCACATGATCACCAGCCAGAGGCAGAAATCCGGACTTCCCTTCTAGAAAGTGAAAAGTATCAAGTGAAACTCTGGATGCTGGCATTCTTCAGCATCTTCTTGTTTTCCTCCTGAGTCTCTAAATGTAAGCTGCTGGAATCTGGGGACCTCAGACGGCATGACTTCTTTTTTTTTTTTTTGGCATGATTTCTATTTAGTCACTACGGGGAAGAATTTCAGAGTAAGGAATAGGGAACGAACAATACAATTACTTGGCGATGAATCATTTTATTCAAACATAAATCATGCTCATTGGGTGTTGCTGTCCTAGCTTTCTTCAGTCATTTAAAACTTGTAGGAAGCCCACATCTAGTATCTTCTAGTGACCTGTGGGTTCTTCGTTCTGCCTCAGGTGTAAATTGTAACTTAAATCATGGCTAATCAGCTCGCCAATCTGGAGATGTGGGTGTATTCAAACCTGGTCGGGTCGATCCTTCCTGTGGCCATGACCTGGACTTTAATATAGACCATATATTCTCCTTTTAATCATCTGAGAGCAACAAGGGGGCTCAGATCCACCTCCTCACTATTGGAATCCCTTACAGATTTGTTTCTGCCTTCTCCCGTTTCTAGCCTAAGTCATATCTGCCTCTCCTTTTTCCTGATTTTCTTATGAGCTATGACTCAATTGTAATTTACAAATGAAACTTTAAATACATTTGCATCTACTTGTGACTACATATAATAATCAAGACACAGAACATATCAAAAAGAAAAAAAAGCACATTTACTTACAAGAGTAATTTTTAAACACTCATTTTTTAATTTTTTATAAAATTTATTTATTAAATTTATTCATATTTATAAAATACATTAAAATAATTATAAATTATTATAATTTATTAATTATATAAAATTTATTTATGAAACTATAATTTATGGTTTTAGTCTACACATACCTAAGTACATGCAAATAGAAAATAATTAGATATTTAGGTGCTGGCCATGTATTTAAAACCTTTGTCAATATGGCCACTACAGATGCAGACTGGATGTGTGTTATATTTGTGACTCAAATACTGAGAATGTATTATCATACTGGTATTTTATTAATAAAGTGGTAAGCAACTCCTGTTGAAGTTTCAAAGAAAATCAAGCATGCCTTCCTTTGACATGGTAACTGCATTCCTGGAAAAACCAGTGTGTGTTAGAGCAGGAGGAAAAAAGAAAAGCAAAAGAAAAGACATTTATACGTCTCAGCCTAACTCAGATTACTGGGTTGGCGATAAAGTTTGTGCAGGTTTTCCCGAATGAACTTTTTGGCCAGCCCGTACAAAAAGCAGGGTGGTGTTTGATTCGGAGGTAATAGACTGCTTCTCTGAATCGGTCACAATAAATCCTCTCTCCCAAAGCAGTCATCATGCCCTCCGCCCAAATCATTGTATCAGAAGTGCCCGCACAAGTGTCAGTGACTCTGGGGGGCAGCTCCCTTCTTCAGAAGACCTGCATTTCCCCCGTTTTTGTTTGTACACATGCCTGACACAGTACAGTCGTTTAGTTGCGTCTTTTTCCCGTTCCCTTTGGTTATGTCAGCTTGATTTGTTTCTGCTTCCTTTTTGCCAAGTTGAAGTACAAGATCAGTTTTAATCTGCAAAGTCTGATATCACCAGCCTTCCTAAGGAATAGTCAGCACTTCCAATGGAGGTCTCAAGTTCTGTTATTAGAAAACAAACATGTCACATCCCAGCACTGTTTCAGTTGTAAAAGGATTAAAGGAGAGATTAGAAAATTCCCCAGGCCTCTCGCTTGCCCCCAGGTTTCAGCTTCCTTTGGCCAGTCCCACTCACCCACTGTCCCTGTCTCCTCTGTGCTAAGACTGCCCCTGAACCAGTTTTGTGTCTGTTAGCAAGGCCCTCTTTTGTTCCTCCTTTTCATGGATATACGAGGAGACTCTCCGAAGAATCTGAGCACAAAGGTCATGGTCGTGAGGATGGGCTTAAGAAGCGCCCTGAATCACACATACTTTATATGCATCACATCCTTTTGTCCAATCTGATTATACTGTTTCTACCACACCTGGCATAATCATTCCTAAGTTTAAAAATACATAATGCTTTTCTTTCTGTATTCCACCCACACCTTTCCATAATTTTTTTTGGTTAGTCTGATGGCTTTCATTTAACTGTACTTGAATAGTTAACTGCTATAATAGGGCGTGGAAATCTCCTTTAAAAATAATGGCCGTTTAGTTAAAATTACTTCTTTTAAGTTAGTGAACTAAAATAAAATGGCACTTTAGTTTTCCTTTTATTTTGTGAAGTAAAATTGCTGTCCAGCTATGTCATAAAGTGAAAGTACATATTTATACCTGGTGCTAGACTATTGGGTTTTTTTGTTTTTTTTTTCCTTAGATTTCAAGATTCAGCTTTAAAATTTTGTTCCATTGTAGTTGCTGCGTTCTCTCTAATATAATTCAAGAAAAGTATTACTTTTAAACTTCAATTTGCAGATAGCCCAGCAATGAAATTTTATATCAGCCCATATGTCATTTGGGTTTTCCCAGATGGCGCTAGTAGTAAAGAAACTGTACAGTGCAGGAATCATGAGAGACGTGGGTTCAGTCCCAGGGTCAGGAAGATCCCCTGCAGGAGGGTGTGGCAACCCACTCCAGTATTCTTGCCTGGAGAATCCCATGGACAGAGGAGCCTGATGGGCTAAAGTCCATGAGGTCACAAAGGGTTGGACACAACTGAAGTGACCTAGCACTCATGCACACACGCACACATGTGTTATTTAAGACAGAATGTTTGTGTGTGTTAGTCATTGAGTCATATCAGACTCCGGGACCCCGTGAACTGTAAGCTTGCCAGACTATCCATGGAATTCTCTAGGCAGCAATACTGGAGTGGGTTGCCATTCCCTTCTTCAGGCGATCTTCCCAACCCAGGGATCGAACCGGGTCTCTCCCATTGCAGGTGAATTCTTTACCATCTGAGCCACCAGGCAGAATACGGTGCTTATTAAGACTAGCATCTACTACAATGTTTTGTGAAAATTAAAAGCCCTTTTATTTTAACTCCATGATTTGCCACATTTGGTTTTGTGATGTCATTGAATAACTGATGGGTTTGTTCTAAATTTTATTTTAGTCTTTATAAAACATGCCTTTGAGTGAAACTTGACTTACATTTGGATGTGGGTGTGTGTGGGTGAGCGTGTGTCTGTGCAGGCCTGCTGCGCTCGGAGGGCAGGCTCTGCAGCGTGGCCTGGGCAGAGCTGCGCCTCTGGAGCAGTCTCTTGCTTATGATGGCTCATGTATCCCGCCGGCAGGTGAGCCAGGACGGGAAGTCCCTGCTTGACAAGCTCCAGCGGCCCCTGACACCCGGCAGCTCCGACTCACTCACGGCCTCGGCCAACTACTCGAAGGCCGTGCACCACGTCCTAGACGTCATCCATGAGGTGCTGCACCACCAGCGGCAGCTGGAGAACATCTGGCAACACCGCAAGGTGCGGCTCCACCAGCGGCTGCAGCTGTGCGTCTTCCAGCAGGACGTCCAGCAGGTGAGCGCGGGGCCTCCTCATGGGGGCTCCTGATGCTGGGCGGGCCCATGGGTACGGGTGTCCTAACGGTGGGGGGGCCCGTGTGCAGTCCAGCAGGTGAGTGCGGGGCCTCCTCGTGGGGGCGCCTGGTGCTGGGCGGGCCTGTGGGCACGGGTGTCCTAACGGTGGGGGGCCCGTGTGCAGTCCAGCAGGTGAGCGCGCGGCCTCCTTGTGGGGGCGCCTGGTGCTGGGCCGGCCCATGGGTACGGGTGTCCTAACGGTGGGGGGGCCCATGTGCAGTCCAGCAGGTGAGCGGGGTGAGTGTGTGGGTGCAGGTGTCCGCACAGGGGTCCGTGTGGTGGAGCCCCTCCTCCTGGGAGTGACTCGTGCTGGATGAGAGTGTGGGTGTGGGTGTCATAGAGGAGACCCGTCTGTGCTCGAGAAAGCAAGATAGGCCAGGTGGAGGAGAGGAGAAGGCACACAGACACACACACAGACACACACACAGACACATGCAGCACAGCTCACACACGCGCGCAGCTTCTGTCTCACCATGAGTGAGAGCCGCGCTTTGAGCACGCGTGTTCAGCCTGCTCATGGCCTGAGCCCGTGTGCCTGGACCACAGCAGCGAGGCAGGGTCTCCCCCAGAGCCCCTCAGTTCCGGTCTGAAGCAAGGCCTCCTCAGTTAGCGTTTACTTGTGAGAACAGTGCCCCGGGTGCTTGTGCACGGTGCTGGGGCAATCTTAGGTCTGTCTCCACTCGGATTACTCAATCGTAAGCCAATCGTGTTTCTCTCCCCACTTGGCAGGAAGTGCCATCTCAGAGGCTCCGGGGTGCTTCCTAAGTAGTTGTCTAATTAACATAAAGCGGGCTTTTACGACTGTCTGTTTCTAAACAGTTGACAGCTTTGTTGTTGTTACAAGTGTCAGAGTAAGCCCAGTCCTGGTACTGTGTATTCCCAATGAAATAAGGAAGATTGTCCTGCTACCAGGGTTTTGAGAATTAAAACTGGGGCCTTATAAAATACGATATAGCTTTAGTAAGAAGATAAAAGTCATGTCTTTGCCCTAAAACAGAGGGGAAGGCAACGGTGTAGATGAGATGTCACTTGCGATGAGAAATTCTGGGTGTGCGGGGAAGCCCGTGGCATCCGGGGAGGTGGCTTGAGGCCACAGTGATGGGTTGGGGACAGAGCCCCCCTCCGGACCCAGAGCGTGGCTCAGTTTGCAGTCCCCCAAGGGCCACCTGAAGGAGAGGGGTGTCCGCTGTCTGGGCCGACATGTGGGAGTACACTTGGGTCCTCCACACACACTGACCACTTCTGCTCTTAATGGGAGTCTGGTGAGTTCCAGATCCTTTTAATTACTCTCTTTGTGTATGTTTTTAATAATTGTATTTGTTCATCTATTTCTGGCTCTGCTGGTCTTCACCGCTGCGCGGGCTCTCTCTGGTTGCGGGGAGCGGGGTCTGCTGTCTAGGGACGGTGCTGTTCGCTGCCACGGCTTCTCTTGTTGCAGAGCACAGGCTCTGGGGCACGTGGGCTCAGTCATTGAAGTTCCCGGGCTCTAGGGCACAGGCTCAATAGTTGTGGCCCATGGGCTTAATTGCTCCACAGCATGTGGGATCTTCCCGGATCAGGGATCAAACGTAGATATCCTGCATTGACAGGTGGATTCTTTACCCCTGAGCTACCAGCGAAGCCCCTATGTTTAATTTTTGCATAGTTTGGTTTGATCCTGCTGATGGTTTTTGAGTTCTCTGAGGTGCACATGTTCACAGCATCTCAGGAATCATCATTTTGACGCAGCGTGTGCTTCTTTGCAGTGTTGTTTTAGTCGTAGAAGGTGAGTGGCAGGGAAAGAAGATGGAGGAGTCATGATCTCAGTGTAACCATGAGAACTGGAGCCCTGAGGTTGAAAGCTCCATTATTAGTTTCCCTTATTTGTCCCCAAGCTGTCACAAACTGAAATATTAACAGTTTCACTGTAATTATTAAAGGATTTTCTCGCCTGTGTCCATATCCCTTGGATCAGGTGCTCATTGCGTATCCACGGGCCAGCACACACTTTGGACCCATGACTGGAGCAGCAGCTGTCCTCCGCCTTCTCCAGCTCTGCGAGCTCCTTGGGGGTCCAGTTGCGTAAGAATAAGCCCCTGGGCCACTCTCTTCAGAAAAGGAAGCTTTTGGGAATAGGCTGATGAGTCTGACCACCTAGCTTGGTGCCGAGCACTATGCTTGAATTTGAAAACAGCCAACATTAATTTTTCTAGGTAGAAAGGTAATTATGATAATTGCAAAACCAGTTCATTAAGCCAGCCATGTTTCTTCTCAGGAACCAGAACAGGGTAGGATGTGGGCAGGAGAAGGTGTTTTGCAGTCCACGGCTCTGTGAGCACTTTGTAGAAATAATAATTGCTCTTGAAGGGAAACGTTTTGTCGATTAAATGATCGGGAATGGTTTGGACTTGTTATGCAAACAGGAAATTGCTCTGTCGATTTGGCTTGTGAGGCAAGGAACCAAGTTGATAGCATGAAGCAGAGCGAGCAACTGCCCTCAGAGGATTCTGTAGGATGTCAGAACTGAAAATGTGTTTCTGAAACTCGAGAAGTTAATCACACACAGGGAAAAATTCTGCTGTCTTGAGCACAGGCCAGGAAAGGTGAGCTGAGGATAAGCGAAGAAAATAGTAGAGCTTTAGAAAGATGCCGTCAGCAGAAGATACACTTGTAAAGACCAAAGCAGTCAAAGTCCACAGAAACATAATAAGCCAATTAGAGATCCCATGTGTGGTTTTGTTGGCTTGCTTTCGGTCGTGAAGCAGCATCTGTAAATACTGAGGAAGAAGAAAAACGGCTTCCACACGAGCAGTGAGGATGAAGACATTCATGTGAAGATGGCCCTCCCAGAAGAGTGTACCCCCATTTGTGGAAAAATTCTTGCAAGAAAAGATGCGAGAGCATTAATAGCGAGTGCCCCCAAGGAAGAGAAGGCTTGATGGAGATGGCATCTGATTTTTAAAACACCCGTAGTTTTGGTTTAGTGGTTAGTTTTCTTTTGTTTGTTTGTTTTTGTAACAAGCAAAGGCAATTTCATAATTTCTGTGTGGACAGTGTTTGGGGTGGGAGTCAGGCTCTGTGGGGTGGGAGGGCTTAAGTGCTGTCCCAGAGTAGTGACCCTGGGTCCAAATCAGAGGATGGGGGTGGGGCAGGCGGCTAAAAGGCATGCTGAAGACTTGCCCAAACACACGTCCTATATACTAGACAGTGTTAACCTTGGTCAGCGTTCGCTTAAAAATGAAACAAATACCATTTGTCATTCCCAGGTGGTGCTAGTGGTCAGAACCCACCTGCTAGTGCAAGAGACTAAAAGATGTGGGTTCGATCCCTGGGTGAGAAATATCCTCTGGAGGATGAAATGGCAACCCACTCCAGTATTCTTGCCTGGAAAATCTCATGGACAGAGGAGCCTGGCGGGCTATACACCATAGGGTCACGAAGAGTCGGACTTGACTAAAGTGACTTCACATGCACGGCGTCATATTTCTTGGTGATCACATAGTGCTCCTATTCCTTTCATCTTTGGTCTGCTCTCAGGGCAGCCCTCAGTGGGTGTTTGGCTGAATGAATGAATGGATGAAGACTTGGGCGGCTGCCAGGAAGTGTTTTCCAGTTTAGGACCAGCTTCAGTTTACCATAGCAACACACTGCATCGCTGCTGCGCTCCGTCACGTGGGGTGGGGGTGTTGGAAGTAGGCAGTAGCAGGATGCCATCAAACCCATTCCTCACTCACTGATGTGGTCTGCCCACCTCTCGGCTTGGTGGATTTAGTGGCTTCAGCATGTTGAGTGAGGTGAATGGGCTGACTCCCCCCAAAGAAGCCCCTCTGACAGGGAGACCCTCTCCTAAAAAAGCCCGTGGGTCTTCCCCTCTAGTCCCACCACAGCCCTTCATGTGTGTGAGCGTCACCCTCACTGAGAAAAACTCTTCTCCAGGCGAGTGTTGGACTGTTTTTTTTTTTTTGGGGGGGGGGTGTTGGACTATTAGCTAATACTCTGAAGAAAAAAAAAAGGTCCATTGAATTAGCCCATAACATGCTCCTAGTTAGCGCCTGTGTCTTTACCTGTTGTATGATTTTGCCAAGGCATGAACTTGATCTTGCCCATTAAGCTGCTCCCCAGATGAGGGAGTAAATAAAACTAGCCACCCTCATGAGGATCGTCTACTGTTTTCTTTTGTTTGTTTGTTTTTGTAACAAGCAAAGGCAATTTCATAATTTCTGTGTGGACAGTGTTTGGGGTGGGAGTCAGGCTCTGTGGGGTGGGAGGGCTTAAGTGCTGTCCCAGAGTAGTGACCCTGGGTCCAAATCAGAGGATGGGGGTGGGGCAGGCGGCTAAAAGGCATGCTGAAGACTTGCCCAAACACACGTCCTATATACTAGACAGTGTTAACCTTGGTCAGCGTTCGCTTAAAAATGAAACAAATACCATTTGTCATTCCCAGGTGGTGCTAGTGGTCAGAACCCACCTGCTAGTGCAAGAGACTAAAAGACGTGGGTTCGATCCCTGGGTGAGAAATATCCTCTGGAGGATGAAATGGCAACCCACTCCAGTATTCTTGCCTGGAAAATCTCATGGACAGAGGAGCCTGGCGGGCTATACACCATAGGGTCACGAAGAGTCAGACTTGACTAAAGTGACTTCACATGCACGGCGTCATATTTCTTGGTGATCACATAGTGCTCCTATTCCTTTCATCTTTGGTCTGCTCTCAGGGCAGCCCTCAGTGGGTGTTTGGCTGAATGAATGAATGGATGAAGACTTGGGCGGCTGCCAGGAAGTGTTTTCCAGTTTAGGACCAGCTTCAGTTTACCATAGCAACACACTGCATCGCTGCTGCGCTCCGTCACGTGGGGTGGGGGTGTTGGAAGTAGGCAGTAGCAGGATGCCATCAAACCCATTCCTCACTCACTGATGTGGTCTGCCCACCTCTCGGCTTGGTGGATTTAGTGGCTTCAGCAT